TTTCTATATTTATCTAATTGTTTTGAGCTGTGTTATTAACCCCTTCCTTCTAGCTCCCGTGAAAATGATGGGGTGAGGTTTTGCCCTCTATTTCTCGCTCCCGTAATATTGAAGGGCTGGAGTGCTCAGTAGTAACGCGCCAATAAGAATAAAACTAATTCATTTCTTTTGCCCGGAAAAAAATTATTTCACATTTTACACACCAGACGGCAGTACCAGGATATTTTTAAGGTAATTGTAGATAGTTAGTTTATTTTAAACTAGATGTTAACACTAATCAAATACGTAATACAAACACAAAAGCCAAAAAAATAGGCCCATTTATGAACGTTTTCTTGAAAATTAACCGATCGTTAAGAGGTTAACTGCTGAAAACGCTATATGCAAATTTCATGTAAATTTTGATTGTTAATAAATGGCATGAGGGTACTTCGCCGGGTTCCTCGGCCAGAACTAGCTGGTGTGAGCCTGTGCTTCCTCTCCTGAGGGAGACAGTAGCGGCGAAGAGTCTAAATTTTTCCCGTATACCATAATCCCTGGGAAGGGCAGGATAATCCTATTACTTACCGTCTGGCTAACCACGGGAGATTTTTTTTTTTTTTTTGCTCATTGTATAACGTAAATATGCGTTAGTTTCGCATAAAACGTTTTCAGGGAATGAAATTTATCCCTTGTTTATTGCGTGATCCAGAAGTTACTTTATGTGTGAGGAGTTCAAAATTGCTATACTACAGAGATAGAATCATAACTCAGGAAACTGATAGTTAAAATATTTTCTTATTTCATATACAGTCATTTATGATGCGTTTAAAATACCCTTCGTCTAACAGAAACTACAATAATAAATGCTAATAAAAAATTTAAGTTAATCAAAGGAAAAATTCAATAATAATAGAGTCTATAAGTAGTAGACTTTATTATTAATAGTCTTTAGTATTATCTTTATTATCTTGACTTTATTATTAATAGTAAACTTTATTAGTATCATTCTAAATCCGTCCCAAAATTCTAACAGAAATATTCTTTTTTAGATTTAAAGAAAAAGGAAGATCTAAAAATAAAAGTAAGATTTTATTTGTACAGGCACTCAATAAAATTTCTTGGAACTACTTGTATATCTTGTTGAATATTTGCTTGATAGAAAACGAAATACAATGTTTGCATTGTTTTATATAATTAATACAATACCCGGTCCGTAATAAGTCTCAATTATGTTGGATAACCGGAACTGGTAGGGTTACAAAAAGTACTCTTGCCCGGTATCCGGAAATGGTCGGGTAAACGACTCAATTTTAATCGGGTAACTGGACCCGGCAATATTTTAGGACCCGATATATCTCAATACAAAAACAGGTTTAAAAAATGAAAGACGTTTTGATGAATAAATAATTCAACGATTCCTGGAATTTTTAAGCTGAAAGATTTGATTTTTAGAATATAATTGTCTTATTGATAACTCAACAAAACAATTATTTCTTTAGTATAAAACAATAATTTTTATAATAATATTGTTGAAAAGCAACATAATTAGTGAGTGTTATAAATCTTATTAAAATAAAGTTTCCTAGAAATCAGTAATTGGTGGTAAAGCATGTGGTTAGTAAATAATGATAATATTTTCAATCATTTTTTCGAAATTTATGCAATTGTAGTTTAATAGAAAAATAACAATAAAAAATGCTTTGCTACAAAACAATTTCAATAATATTTCTAAGAAAAAAAAATTAATGTAATATGTAACCCAATTGAATAATGGGTAAAAAAAATATTTTTTTAAAAAAAAAATTATATTTGCGTGAGTATGTATTCATTTGCAAATTTAATCAAATCTTCTAACACGCAGGGGAAGACTTGCAAAACATTGTGTTGTAAATTAACAAGCCTGAAATTTCATTTCAATGATTATTTAAGCTTGTGACATTAATAATTATTATAATTTAAATTTCAAGAACACTCTCATCTCCTTCGTTTTTCATAATTTATTTTTTCACAACCAACTTGGTTCAGAATCAAGCTAACTTACACTCCACTCTTTTTATAAATGAAAATAAAACATAAAATAGATTGAAAAAATGTAATCAAAAGGGAAATTTACAAAACTCAGTTCGTAAAGCATTCTTATGTATTCTATAATGTCACGAAAGTCTGTTAAAAAAAAGGACATGGTTGAAATTTGTAAATGATTTTCAATCGTAATCGATAAGTTTTTTTATATAAAAGTTATCAGTTATCAATTTTAAATTAATAAATGATTCGATCAAGATTAGAAATGAATAATTTGCTTGAAATAGATAAATGTCATTACATTGAGCATGTTAAACTTTAAACTAATATAACAGGTATATTTGATAATGTAGAAACGTCTTTTGCTTCAAAAATTGTAAAGTTTAAAAGCTTTACTTGTTTCATAAGCACAAGACTTATTCTTAAGACTCGCCAGCCCTAAATGAGAACAACAAATAATGTTTGGAATAAATGGGAAATAAAGTGAAGTGGAAAATTCAACTAAAAAAACCACGGTTGCCACAATGATCTGTTTTGTTGTTATCCTTCTAGTTTGAATTTGAGATTGGGCACCTATAAAAAATAGAGCACTCGACACATAATGACTTTTTTAACCAATAGTATTTTTGAAGCAAACGAAGTTTTCTCGCTATCAACTGAATATCTTTCAGCTTCAATTTCTTGCGATTATTCATTTAGTTGGTATAGGGTAATAAATAAACAAATTTTCATTTATAATTTTAATAGATTACTAGCAGATAAACAATTTAAGCTTTAGAAGATATATATATNTATATATATATATATATATTTCTGTGCAATTTTGTATCAGTTTCAGATTAAAAATGGTAAGGAAAAAATATTAGTAACTATTAAAATACTTAAATAAAAGAACTTAAAATCTATATGCGAATATGGAAATTTAATGTATTTGATAAGACGAAAGTACAGATTGCCGCAAGGAGAATGAAATTATTCAAAAATTTACTCTAAAAAGATTAAATGACCGAATTTTGCGAAATTAAATTTTAGAATTTGGATGTAAACATCTTGAACAGTTAGTGTAGAAAACACTACGAAATGCCACCTGGTTCGGCAGAAATACACATCTCTACGACAATAACATATTTAGATGAATAAATCTATAATCACTGACACTTATAGAATGCATGATCATAAAAACTATGCTATGAAACTATATAAAATTCTTTTATTTTTCACTTTCCAGTCACAAGGAAAAAAAGTAAAAATATCAGATAGTATCAATGAAGTTATCAGATACAAATGTATATTGATTTCAGAAGTATTCATAAGTGATTAGGTATGAATCGGAATCACCTTCTTAAACTTGGGATAACAACATTGGTATGTCCGGGATAGCCTGGTTGGTAGGACGCTGGGCTCATGTTTGTGAGATTGTGAGCTCGAATCCTGCCTGCTGAGGAATCCTCATGTATTAAGTGGTGACTGGTGCACGTTAAATCTGTCGAGGTAACGAAGTCCTCCAAGTTCCCATACAAATCAGTACCGCTTGGGGCACTGAATTGGAGATTGATCGCTCCCTGGTTTAGGTTAAAATTACGATCTGTGGATGTATGAATTGAGAATGAATGTGTCCTCCCTGTAAAACGGGCTGTGTAGCGTGTGTGTCTGAAGTCATATACTTTGCCATAGACGGCGCCACTGAGAAACAAGAAACGCATCCTCTGACTGAAAATTGCTAGGACTTTTCCATATCAGGCTTGCAGATATTGGTAAGTGACATTAGTAACAACAACAACAACATTAGTGAGAAAGTTAAGTTGGTTGCCATGAGAATGTCTGTGTGTCCAACCTGTGTTTCGGAAAAAAAGTGACACAGCCAAATTTGTCCCGAAAAGGGGTAAAAAAGGCCAAAAGGTTCGGCTGCGCAGCGTTTGTATAATCAAGTGGGGGTAAAGTGATTATTTATTGAACTAAAAGCTACGTTTGAAATAATATTGCAATTGATGCCAGTTTACTATTGATTTTTTTATTTTTCATGAAATTAGTTAAGCATACAAATTTGTATCAATAACAAGATTGAACAGCGTATGCCAGAATGCATTTTAATTTTATATTTTTTGTATGCATTTCATTTTTGTATCTTCATTTTCTTTCTTTTTAATTTCACTCATTATTCATCAATAGTTCTATTTACGTTATTATGTTTATTTGTGTGGAATTTAAAAATCAAATAAATTAAAAGATATTTGAAGGAGGAAATTTTATCCAATATTGTTCGAATTCTATTTATTCATGAGTTATAAAGGCAACCAATCCAATCGTAAGGTATATTAAAGTTTACATCATTTTATGAAAGTAATTTTAAAAAGCAAAATGCAAAATTTAAATGCAATCGGTCAAATAGTTCTTGAAAAATCCAATTTTAAATATATGACTTTTTTAAAACTCGATCCGCTCTCCTGTGGGAGCGGATCGATTGCTCAGATTGCGTCTACCCCCTATATTTCGAGAGTTAGAAGAAAAAGTACGTTCATTCAGAGAAAGTGCGTATTTATGTCTGATTTTGAAACTTAAAATATGGTCTGCACAGATTATTTAAAATACTTGAGGTACTCACTTGAACTATTGAGTCCTGGTATATGAACACCTGACCATTACATCAAAAGTTATGCAGAATAATTGATTTTCCTTTCAGTTTTTAATGCTCACTCGGCGTCATAACTTCCAACCAGGTTTAATAAAGCAGGTTCGGCCTTGATCGAACAGTAAATCATTAAATTAATCAATTCCAGACGAAAAAAGCTTTTAATAAATCTCTATTTTCTCAATCCATACTCGTCTGAACAAATATTTGTATCCGATGACGAAATTATTTGACGCGTGTGCCAATTAATTTCAGTAAATTATCTTCTGTGTACTATTAACCAGTACAAGGAAATTATCAATTTCTTTTTTCCATCTAAAAGAGCAATAATTTTATTTTTAACCATTAAATGATAATAAATATTGTTCTTTATTTTTCTGTTTATTCTGCTTCTGCACTGCTGCCGTGGCATTTCTTATTTTCATTTCACAAAACTACAACTGTGTTTTCGTAAAAGGAATATACCGAGCGGACATAACTTTTTAATATTAAAAGTATTTGAATTTCAACGAAGATTTATCTTCCATATTTCGTTCTTTAGAGATTGGAAAAAGTTTCATTATCCAAATTTATTATGTCTAAGTAAGAAACTCTATTTTATCTCTTTTCTCATATTAAAAAATTTTTCATGCTCTCTAAACTTACTTCTTTACATACTACTCATATCTATCTACCTATCTATCTATCTATCTATCTATCTATNTATGCATATATATATATATATATATATATATCAATAGTTAGATAGATAGATATAACATGTGTGCCAACAAAGTTGTTGGTTTCAATTTGCTTGCTTCTCTAGGGGCGGTTATTGGTTTGGCTGTTTGCGGCAATTTACAGCCAACCGCTGAAACTGCTCCCGCACTGGGTGCATGGTAATGCCCCCTCACAAAGCTGCCACTTATGGCAGTACATTTTCTTTAATTTATTTGTAGTATTTTTCTCTTTTTACTATTTCCTGTAGCGTTTTTCAAAAGGTGATATTTAGTATGCTATTCCATGTTAATGGTTATTTATATATATATATACATATATATTGCTTGTTTTTCATCTACTTTCTCTACTGCACTTCGATTCCAAAATTCAATTAAATGAAACATGAAAACCGTAATGTGTTTTAACAAGCATTAGGATAATCAATTATAATTTTTTGTCATTCAATGTACACATTTTATGCATCGCAAGACATTTCAATTTAAAGTTTGTATTTTTAACACTTACCTTCTTCATATATCTGAAATAAACATAAATTAAGAGAAGCATAATAAATTCGCTAAACTATTATTGATACCACCGATACTTATTTTATGGTGTAATTAGGTACGACACTGTTGGAAATTCCTTGGAAAAATGGTTCAATAACATTTTATTCAATTGTTATTTCCCCATATTCAAACAAAACAGTCAAATAATCATAAATAAGATGATATTCAAACTGGAATTTGTGAGAAAAAACGGTTATTTACTACTTTCTCCTAATACGATTAAACAATCAGACTTTTATCGCACCAACTACTTCCCACCTAATGATGTCACTTAGTTCCTTGCAGCTGGGCTACACATTATAGCTGAGAGGTCTGATCTGTCAATCTCATGTCCGACAGAACGGGGGTTCGAATCCCAGCGTTGACACCTCAAAATTTCCTCCAATCAATTACACACATGAAGAGTTATCAGTATCCTGCACACCCTAATTTGTGACCTTGGGATATCAAAATACGTTACTCTCATTCACGAACAGCTGGCAGCACCGCAAAACTTCTAAACTATCTGCCATGTCCAGTCTTTTTAACAATTTTGAAGCCATACAAGTTGTAAGCGATTTTAAAACCGTGAAGGTAAAAAATGTTCTATACCGTGAACTTTACGGTTTTTTGGATGAACAGACTGCTACCGATTATTTTACCATAATTTTAGAGAGAGAATTCTAACAGTTTTGTGTTAGTAGGTGATAAACGCTACCCAAGGTACCAATTTGGAACCATATATACCTAAAGTTAAAATTATAATATAGTATTTGTCAGTTATTATACAGTATTTATCCCGGGGCCGCATCCGGCCCTCAAAGCCTTTTTTTGTGGCCCACGAACTAAAATATATTAGTTGTTATTTTTTGAGGACAATTTTCGTAAAAACTTTATATGGGTTTAAAATGCTTTTCTCGTTAATAAAAACCTAATTTCTTCGTTTCTGTGAAATTTAACTTACCAACGGAGCAAAAAATTTTATTTCTCAGGCTTTACATCCAAGAAAATATTTATTCAAATACAAAAATAGTCGCGTTTTTGTGAATATAACTTAGCGTATGTGTATCAGAAATTTTCTCGAAGAAATTCTCCGATTAAACTTTTTGAAACCACTCATTTTGGACGAAAATATTTACACAAACATTTGCAAATTTTGAATTTAAAATGTAATTATCTATTTTCTGGTTTTTGCAGCAGAAAAACCTCCATTTTATCATTGAACATTTTGTGTGCTACTATGTAAGTTTTAATACCAACCTTTTAAAATGTTTTATATCTTAACAATTAGATATCTGTTGCACGTTAATTGTTTAATAAATAGGTGCACATTAAAGTTATTGTAGCCCGAATATTTTTATGTGCGATTAAATATTTTTAAAAATCTACATCTTACTTTAATTTGTAATTCAATATTTTTGTTTTGTGCAACTTGGTAAAAATCTGACAGTAATATTTAATGTTCCTTCAAATATAAAAGCATCCTACATAAAATGTTGATAAAGTTGCGGCCTGCCATCTGATTTTTGTTTTTAATTGTAGCCCCCATCCTCATGTAAGTTGGAAACCCCTGCTCTAAATATTATTTTTTTTATGTACACATTTCTAAATGTCAGTATTCAACCACAAAACAACTTAAAGTCTTCAAATTTAGCATGAAGTTGTAAAATGTAATGAAAGAGGGTCATAGCAATAATGAAAGTAGAAGTAAAGTTAGTACTGTAAAATTAAAACAATATTTTTAATCAATGAGCCAAGTTCTTCAAGAAGCAGTTGTAGAAGTAGGTTGTTTATTTAAAACTTTTTATAGAATTTCTTTAAGAACACAATTGTTAATTTGGGCATTTGGCGATACAACACTTTTAGAATTGAAGGATTTGTTACGTCAAGCGCTCAGGTATCATAATTTTGATCTAGTTGCGCTTCTATGTCATTTTGATTTATGTTGCTAAGTTAACTTTCAAAAAATTCTATGGCTGGCAACAGCATTTTTATTTTTTAAGTTGTTTATTTTTTTTTCTTTTAGAATTCGTTATTTTTTTAGCGAAATGTTTTTTAACCTAACAGAATTCTTTGCCGACTGTTTTCTCTATGAATGAAGAAAATAAAGTAAATATTTAACTGTTGTGAAAAGAATCTTATTTAGTTGTACAAAGTACTTCAGCCAAAATTTGGGAGCCACGTAAGAGAATTATATATATTAGATCAGAAACACATCATTAAAAGGCAGAATGCTTTGGTGTTTTCAAAACAAAGCAAACGTTGCCACCGGCGGAAAAGAAATACAGCCAAAATTTGGGAGCCACGTAAGAGAATTATATATAATAGATGTTTAAATTTAATTATATTATTCACATTGTATTTCTTATAACAATAGACAAAATCAATAAATATCAAATAAATTTCAATGAAACTAATATGAGAACGGCTGGTAAAACAATTATTTAAACAAGCGAAATGTCTCGGTTTCTACTTTCTTAAATAAGATGAACTTCATTGATTATTTAACAAAAAAATAGAATAGATTCCACTACAACTGCGTTGTGTGTACTTGCCATGTAGAAAACAAAAGAAATGTGGTTCTGCAAAAATTTATATTTGCCCCTCGTATATCAGATGTTTTAACTAAAAAAAAAAAAAAAAAAACTTAAAGTGCAATTGCTATTCTAGCCAATCACAAAATCTTAACAAACATATATTTTCTCTTTGCTATTCGACTTGGCTCATTGGATAACCAAATACTTATTTTCCAGGAATAAAACCAAATTATATAGTTAGCAAATACGAGGCAAAGTTGAATAACTAAATATTTAGTTCTGTTAAATAATTAGATATGTATTTAATAATCTCGTGAAGTTTGCATAAAGTATTGGAAAAAAAAATACTAACAGATGATTAAGATGGCACGGTATTATTAAAACAGAGTATTGATAAAACAGAGAATTATTAGTATTAATAAAACAAGGAAATCAGAGCATGGACATAATGAAAGAATAAGAAAAAAAATAATGTTGTTTCGCATAATGCAGCAACAATATTAAACAACGTCGAAAAAATAGTGGTCCTTTTAGATAAATATCTAAATACATTATAAATTCCAAATCAAATGAGGGGTAAAAGTTGATTCAGGGGGATGGTATGTCTGAAATTAATCGTCGTAATTACGTGTTATGAAAAATTTTAAGTGTAATTTAAATCGTTGTATGAATTTTGATTTAATATGCTTAGTAATAACTTATAAAATATCCTACATTAAAAGCATCATTTTACATAGAAATTATTCTTTTTAAAAATAAAATTAATCATTTATGTCTGTTTTCAATAGCTTAAAAGTATATTAAGAAATATAGGTATAGGCACATAAAGAAGTTTCCTAGCAAATCACTGCTACTAACTCATTTTACTTATGTTACACTTCCCTTTTTTAGACATCCGGAAAATCATAAAATACGATATTTATAAATAAAACAATTTCCTTGTTAGACAAAACCATAAAATATTGCTAGTTTAAGATTTTGATATTAGTTTCAATTCCTAAGGAAGTTCTCAAATCATTATAGATAAAACAATTTCTTTTTTAGACAAAACCATGAAATGTTGCTAGTTTAATGTTTTAATATTGGCTTCAACTCATAAAGTAGAGCTCAAACATATTATTATTAAATATTCGACGATAGGAATGCGAGAATTAAATTTATATTCAATGCCAAACATGAAAGTCATAAATATACCGATCGACAGCCATAAATGCACAGATATACATAAAATCATAAATGTGCAGATTCAACTAAAGTTAAACAAAAAACTTAAAAGAAGAGATGGAAACTTATATTTTATTAATAATCTACAAAACTGATATTTCAGGTAGTTTCAAGTAAAAGTTTATAAAAACTATATTCATATTAGCTTTTCACAAGCAGGTAAAAAAAACTAGCGTAATATACTAGTATATGAATAGATTTTTGAATAGAAAAGACAAAGAATTACAGTCAATAGTTATATTTAATGACTGTTTAGTGTCTTAACCATATCTTAAGCATATTGAAGCAATCTTGTTATGTTACAGTTCTTGAATCACATTTAATATTGAAGTTACAGGTAAAACCAATTTTTTTACTCTCAGGAATAAAATTATCATACGTGAGTCCCAAATATGAAGTTCAGTAGTTAAAAACACACATTAAATTTTTTTCGAAAGTTTCGCGTTTTCTCAGAATTACCTATTTATCGTATATCATGGACAAAGGGGAGAAAATAAAAGGCAAACGGATATAAAATTTAAAATGAGCTTGCCTTCTCCTTATGATGCTTCTGTCTAATTACAATGATAATAATAGAAATTTTTCACGATATCTGTAAAGAATAAAATGTGCGAAACTCTTTTTTTTTTCCAAATTTAAGAGACATTAAATTAGTGTTTACATTCTTTCATGGTAGAAGAGAGGAAAGAGAGCACACTTTATTAAAAAAAAAACAATTTTATAATATAGTAAATCGATATCCTTGATTTCAATGAGTAAAAAACTTTTAAGAAGTATTAGCTATAACTGGCGCAGTCATCTTGTGATGCTTATAAAAAGTAAATGCTCATCATTTACTTTCATTTGGAAAAAAAAATAGCAGTTAATTTGGCATTTTCAGAAAATATACACTTTTGAAAATACGTGAATGGGAATTAGGAATGGGAGAAAATCACAAAAACTATCGTGGCGCTACAGTTTTAGAAGGCGAAAACTCCCAGATGTGTAGCAATGGTGCATCACTTTCTCTTCTATAATATGTCTCTGATAATGGATAAGGCTCGAATCCCAGTTGATACGAACTCCGCATCCGGCTTCCACTGACCACAGTACTGACGTGAAATATCCTCATTGGTTGACGGATCATGGGTTAGAGTCCCCTTGCCGTCAGGCTAATCGTGGGAGTTTCTCGTGGTCTTCCTCTCCATGTATCGTAAGTGCGGGTTAGCTCTACCAAAAAGTCTTCCACGAAAGCAAATTTCTCCTTATTCTCGATCCAGGAGTTCCCTTGTTTCCTGGATTGGGTTCAAAATTACAAGGCTACGGAGTTGAACAGTAGTAGTCGTGAGCCCATAAAATTGAGTGGACTGTTCAACGACGGTTATAAAATAAAATAAAATGGATAAGGCTGTAAATACAATATTTTAATTTCCAGTTATAAGCCAGTGAAGCATGCTTACGACATACATGAACCTGATGGTGGTGCAGATTCCTCTTTACCGCCTGTCATCTTTCTTCACGGTGTCATTGCATCAAAAGAAACGTGGAAGGATATGCCCCAACAAGTTGCTAACAAGACAAAGAGAAAAGTAAGTTTTCTGTTATACATTTGTTAGGTAGTATAGAAGTAGCATACTAATAAAAGCGAATGTTAAAACTCACAAAAAATATATATATATGGGTGATTCTCACGAAATATGATAATTCACTGTCCCTTGCTCCAGGATCTAATACTATAATACTAAAAGAACTTTTTTTTTCAAAAAATTAACCAATTGCATTGCTGTTAGCATTTTAAAATGACTTTGCACTAGCATTGACTCTTTCTCTTTTGTATAGTTAAAAAATTTTATTGAACTTCACAATGTCATTTTCCCGGCATGTCCCAAACAATGTTTCCTATAATAACTAGCTTCAAAACTTCCCATAAATTTTTCAATTTCTAATTTTTTTATCTCAACCGGTGTAAGCATTTCTAGAATATACGCAGAGGGTATTATTTACGAAAACTTCGTTTAAAATAATTTTTTCACTCAATAATTTGTTTGTCCCAAGAAAATCTGTCATTTTCCTGGCTACTTTTATTTAGTGGCTTATAACCAAAATAGATAGAGCCAGCAATCAATATCTTATGTTAATAGATTGATTAGATACCCTCCCATATGAACATGTCTTGTTGCATGAATAAAGAACCAATTTTCTGGTTCAAAATCTATTTCAAAAAATTTTTCGAGATGAGTAGGTTTTTGTGTTGTCATTTTCCTGGCTTCTTGAAATCATTAATAACATAAACTACATAGATTTATCTGAGTTATTTTAAGAAAT